TAAAAATTAGCCAGTACGGATTTCTATAAAGGAAGTCATTAATGACAGTAAGTCTGTTTTTTATTCCTGTAGTATTAAACTGCACTTTTTCTCTCACTTTAGTTAAATATCAAATATATATCCATTTACTTTAAATTTTAAAAGTGTACATAAACTAGTTCAGTGCATTATTTTATGAACGTAAATAGAATAGAATTATTAATCTTTTTGTTTACAAAAATAAAAATTAAATCAGGGACGAGTTGAAAATTTTACTTTAATGTATTCACTGCCACGTCATTTATATACATATGGCATTCCTTTCCAAAAGTGCACCGTCATTCAAATACGAATGACATCAAATTCTCTTGCATAATCTTGTCATTCAATATTTTATAAGGAAAATGAAAGAAGATTCGAATTCCAGTAATGCTATATCCAGTTTATATGATACTAAGTATTATTTATGTATGAATAATGTGTCAATTACCATGTCTACTTTGAATTAATCATCGATTAAGTTAATCGAAATTTAGACAAAGTCATTTCAAGGATAATTTCTAGCTGTATCTTATACGGTACAGAAAATAACATAATTGTGTACTGTATATTGCAATAGCATTACTGTAAAATTGCTGAAACGTTGCAATATTGTTGCAATGATATATATTGTATGGGATAATTCGTCGTCCTTAATTTAATTTTTCCATGTATAACAATAAAAGATAAATAATTCTATATGTATTATTGAAATAATATAGATATATTTTTCGATAAGAATCCTATATTATTTGCATGAGATGTAAAATTTCCTATCCTATTCTGGAAATCTAAATTCACAGGTCTAATTTTTTTATGATTGAATGCTGCATACATTATTTTACGATTAAACGAGAATTTTTGCTTATCTTTATATGTTTAAAAGATATGTAGAACATCAATGTTTATTTATAAATTGTAAATTATCAAAGAGAACAATGCAAATTGGAATACATTTTTGGAATTTAAAATACATTTTACTCGAATAATTACATTAAAAAATTATACGAGCGATATATAACATTGTAGAATTAATCGCCAATTATAACATTAACTGAAATTTAGTCGAAGCTATTCTGCTCCAATATTGGCATTGGACGTTCGGCAAAGAAAACAGCTTTACAACTATTGTAAAATTCTTTAGTCTAATTGTTTTTGTTCTTAATTCCTTCCTAGATTTAAATGTATAAACTAATCATATTAAAGAATTTTACAATAGTATAAAATTGCACTACTTTCTTTGCTGAACGCGCTTTTGCTGAAGCTGCAAAAGTAACGCTGTATGATAATATATGATGGGTACAACGCGCAGTTGCAAATGCCTGTATCCGTCTATACACATCGCGAGTTCGATTCGAGGGTGATCGGGGGTTACGACTTATAGCAAGGAAGCCTGCGACGCGAGTATGCGACGCGAATAAGTTCGACGCGACGCAGCTCGACGTGGTGGCAGTGCGACGCTGATTCCCGGTTCCCATAGTTTTCGCGAGAGCTTCAAGTCGTTTTCGCGAGGCGGATCGAGGTGCCTCGCGTAAGATCGCGTAGCAAAGCATGCGAATCGAGAGATCGTATCCTATCGGCACCGTCGAACTTCGTCGTCGTATCCGGCATATCCCCGGCGAAAAAGGAGCGAGCGAATCGCGCGGTGACAGGGTCGATACTTTGACTTCAAGGGCGCGCGGCTCACCCACGCAGGTTCGTGGGACAGCAGTCTTCATGTAAGTCAGTTTTCCTACAAAATCATACGTATGTGCTTTGTGTTATTTGACGATAGACGCGAAATCGTGGATAAGATCGATTAAGGAGGTAACTCGGGAAACGGGTGGAGCTTCGTCGACCGCGTCGCTGTATAGGTTATGTTTCTCTGGCAATTGATAACGCTCAAGGCGACTCTACTACTAAATATGTAACGTGGAAAGGATCCATATGCGTGTGTTGAAACGGACTCTGAATTTTTTCTGACTGGGTTTGTATTGTTACGATAGATAAAATATTTTAGATATTTTTGTAATTAATTTTGAGCATGTGTTTTAAATGATATTTGGAGGAGTTGAAGAAGAATTGTCCCTGTTTGCATATGTGACATTGATCTGTCATGGAACTGATGTTTATGTGACGTGGAGTAAATGTAATAGAGTTTATGCGATTTCAGCATGAATGTGACAAATATTGATGTTCCATTTATGTGCAGACTTATGCATGCACTTAAGTGTTTTCAAGAGAGAAAAGCATAAAGAGAGTATGTGTATGTTATATCACTCTCTTTGCTTAATTAACATATTCATCGATATGTTCGAAATAAAACTGCTGTTTAGCGAAAATTTCATGTAAGAAAATTTATTCATTCATATAATTCATACATGTAATTAATTATAATTAAAAAATTTTGGCCGGTTTTTATTTAAAATTTATTGTAGTGAAACTGATTTCTGAATTATTATTAAATAATAAAAAACAAAATATAACGACGGTAGTTTGTATAAATTTTAAATATGATAACTTTTTTGCTACATCCAGTGATATAAAACATTATGAATCTTTAAAGTTTAGAAAATATTATTTTGTATTTTTTATTAATATTTATTAATATATGCTTAGCATGATCAAAATTTCTCGGCGGTTACATTCTCACTATAAATTTATATAATTTTATATAGGAGGCATAAATTTAATAATCTGAATGGGAGAAAAGAGTAGGGGAAGAAGAGTTATTTCTTCTTATTATCAACACGCATATACAATTTTGTGAATCAAATAAATTGGAGCGAGTACACGCGAGAGCGTGTTTCTATTTTCGTTGTGTGTGTAGCGCACGATATAAAAAATATCACATAAACCAGAAATTTGTAAACATGCCGGAATTAAATAGTATATGTATATAGAAACTAACATAAATACTCATCAGATTAAGTAACGGCGTGATTTAATTATGTAAGAATTACTTCCACTTACAGTTAATCATCTCGATGACGTAATATTGTTAAAACACAGCGTTGCCTCTGCAAAAATAGTCTGATGTCGATAATTTTTTTGTCATTTTTACCATTCTTTCTTAAATCTTTTTTAGTTTAAAATAAGAAGTTTTCAATTAATATCGTATTCGATTAATTTAAAGCAAGAATTGATGAACAAGGAACGTTTACAAAATTGTTTCCCTTTTTATTTTGAGATATTTTTATTTTCTTTTGAAAGATTACGTTATATTAAAGAATAATTATTACGAAATTTTTTTTTAATAAAATGACATTTAAGCATCGGAGCAGTTAATAGCGATTGCTGTCGATGTTAATGGTGCATTAACTTGGTTCGTAAAAGCTAATTGAGTAGAACGAAGGGTATTGACAAAGGCATAAAAAAAAGGATAAAAAATGGTTAAATTAAACACTCTGCAAAGTTTATATATATATAAACTAATACAATGGCCACCATAGCAACTGTTGTTGGTTGACTGCAATATTAATGTATTCGCAGATTTCCGCAGATTAAAATATAATACTTTGTAAACATTGAAACCGACGTAACTTCAGTTGACGCATGAAGCTGATTTCTATATTTATTCATGACGTAACGATAGATTATGGTTTATTGATACATATTGAATCAATCATTGGAAATGATTAAATCTTTATAAGTTCGAATTTCGATGCTGCAAACACGCAAAAGTTAGTTCTCCCCGTCAGTTAGTAATATAGTATATATACATTTGTTTAGTTTGTGTGTAATATATATTACATAATTTATTAGAAAATATTCCGATTTCAGATTTCAATCTCAGCTGTGATGTGATAATTTTTATTTGAACACGTAACCTAGAAAATATATTTTTTCCTGACTACCAACTCTTTTTTTTTTAGTGAGTAATCGCTTTTTAATGCATATAATTATTACAGCAATATGACGTAAAGCTTGAACTTCGATATTTAAACTTTAAACGATAGATAGAGTTGCGTGCGCAGAAATAACAATATTATTCTAGAGATATTTTTTTAACAAAAACTTTTTGAAATTAATAATATCCATTAATTTTTTAAAGAGTGACACTCTTAATTCCACAACGGACTGAAATTTTAATGAGGTCGTTGTTATTAACTAAGAAAATTTGACAATAGTTCTACATTTTTAGCTAAGATTTTTTTATTCTCATTTATACAGTTGACTCAAAAACAACATTTGATGATATGTCAAAACACCAATTTTTATTAATATAATAAGTCAAAGTTAATGAAGATACAAGAAATGATTTGGAAAAACAGCCTATTTAATAGCATACTTTATATCGAAGAAATGGTTTTGTTGAAGTGTCTAAAAATTTAGTTGTCACATTAAATTTTTTCAGCAAAACCATTTTTTATACAGATCTGAAAATAATTATATTTGAATAATTAAATTTGTCAGGATCAAACTGGATTTCTGTACATGGGAAGATTTTACTAAAATATTTAAAAATTCAGATAGATAGAGATATAAAAATAATTTTTTGGATTATTAAAATAATTATGTAGAACGTTCAAACTAGTTGCTTATCAAAAGTTTTTGCAGAATTGCTCATGCTTGAGTTTTCCTGTATAATTATTTTAATAATCCAACAAAATAATTTTTCGATCAGTATCTGTCTGAATTTTTAAATATTTCAGCAAAATCTTTCCATGTACAAAAATCCAGTTTAATCCTGACAAATTTAATACTGAAAGCACTGAACGATAACACTTTTAATACTTACACTGAGAAAAACGTCTAGTTGGATTAATTGGAATTCTGAAAATAGACGAATTTTCTGGTTAAATCTATCTACTATTATTCTAGTTGAGATAACTAGAATTCTTATTCATATAATCAGAATCTTCATTTTCAACATTTTTTCTCAATATGAAAGAAATAATTAATCATTACTTTCTAATATCAAATTTTTATAAGGAACACGTGTTACCTTTAAAATTTTTTCGTCAATAATATAATATTTACGTCATCCATCAGAACACACCTCGTGTCTGATTACATGCTTATCGCGAAATAATTAGTGACTCGCGACACTAAACGGGTCCTTGCCAGTCTGCGCGTTGCATTCGATCTATCGTCGTGCGCTCTCACGACGACGCGTGATAGTGACATATGGGAAGGACAAAGATAAATAGATAGATAGATAGAGAGAGAGAGACATTCCAGTTTTCTCATAACCGGTGTACCGTTGCTTTCCACGCTTAGCTGACACGACCGTGGCTTTTCGACCGATACTCCGAACGAACAGCCTTTCGAGAACAGCCTGCCAGTCGACATTCGTGAGCGCAGCGCGTACACTGCGGAGTTTGTCGCGTTCTTTTCACTCTTTCCGTTCTAGCGGTTCTTTTCCTGCATTTCGCGAGTGTTAACGGGAATACGTCGCTCTTCCCGCTGGACTTCGCGAACGATTCGCAGTTTCCCGTCTCTCCCATCGTCATTTATCGAAGTAACGTTACTGCGCACAGTGGAGTACAGTTCTCGACGTAAATTCGGATTTCTGTGCTATAAATACCGAGAGGATAATACCTAATATTTACTCGTGATAACGAATACACAACGAGCGCCTCGTAGAATACGGTTCCGCTATTTACACTATGAAGAAAAGTTGTTAACGTGATTAAACGTGTTTAGTTGTATTAGTTTATAGTGACTTTTTAATTCAAGCATTTATGTATCTAGGTTAAATATATGTGAGCATATTTAACAACTCATGTCAACAAAATTTTATAATTTAAAACGTGTTATTTGTTTGAGTTGACAGATGTTTACTTGACAGTCCATGATCGCCATAGTTAGTTGAATCAATCAATATTTTTTTAAATCAACAACTTTTTTCTCAGTGTATCTATAGCAGAAAGTAAAACTCGCGTTGAGACTGTATTGAAAATCTCGTTAGTTTTATTCTCAATGTTCGGTATAGAAAGAACTGGTGCTCGCAAAGCATTTTACATTCCGAGTGCGTAATTGCTAATACTGCGACCTATTTTTCGTGGTTGTTTGCCTTTATGAACATGGAAACCCGTCGGCGTGTTGATACCGGCACTCGTAAGTTTTTTTAAGAATAAATAAAATAATATTTGCGATTCTACAGAATAATCCAATACAAATAAAATGCCTATTGCTTGTGAATATATTATTCTTTTATTTCAGAAGTATAACACAACTCAAAAAATTAACCAATTACTCAAAAAATTAAGTTTTTCAGAAGGGGAAGAAATATTATTTTTAATTTAACAGTAAATTATTGACTAATTAAATATTGACAGAAAAAAAAACTCTCAGAAACGTGAACAAATGACAATTTTGTCATTTTTGTTTCACAATCTTTAAAAAACCACTTTTTTAAGTTGTGACGATTTTGATATAATACAAAATTATTACAAATTTAGAATATTTCATCAAAGTGTCATAACTCGAAATATCCAATACCTTCATTATATCTAATACCTTCATAAAATGATTAAATTAAAGATAAAAAATACATTTCTTCTTCAAATTTTTATTTCCAAAACTATCTTAACTCTAAATGTTTTCTATAGAAGACTCTTCTTTATTTAAAAAAATGACACAACTCTCAAAATGTGTTATTCTTGTAGAAGATATTATGATTTTTAAAAAATCTTAAGAACGACATAATTATAGCTGCACTTAAGTACTGCTATTTGGCGGTTTGTGAAATCAAGTTGGTTTACTTTTAATAGAGTAATTTGTATCTAATTCATTCATGATAATAATTCGAAAATCATTTTTTTAATTGCGTTTTGAAGTAAAGAAACGATATAATTGATATACTAACAACTATGAAGGCTCACATAGGTATTTTATTGATATTTTCTTTAAAAATTTATGTAAAAATGATGATTTTTAGTTTGAATCGCAGCGATTATTAGTTTCGAAATTATTTTTCTTTTTTGGAAGCAGCGTTTTGATTTTACAGCTCACCATTGTGTTAATCTTGCTAGCTCTCATTACAAAAATAAGTTTAATTTATTTAATATGTACATATTATTTGTATAATTATTTCTACTTTAGTGACGTTTAAATTGCACTTGTTAAAGAATTATATACATATTTTCCGTTAAAGGAAAAGATTATCTATGGTCATGAATACTTATTATCTTGCTGTTATCTTTTAAGTTTACCTTGAATTGTTTCTACCCATACAATAAAAAGTACTTGTGTATATGTTTGGTTATCAAAAAACTTATAAGGCATAATGCCTTATAAGACATTATACTTTTTTTATAAATTTTTTTAAATTTTTTAAGATATTTACATGACAAGTATAATAACATCCAGTTTGATGAAGGTAACTTCACGATAGTCGGGAAGATTATTCACAGCTATAAAGCACAGTGACTTGCAAAAGAATCAGTAATTGAAAAATTGTTACTGGTTTCTCCTCTTGATCTCGGCATTAACTAATTTTCCCTTGGTATTGATCTCGAAAGAAATTAAAACAGTCCGTAACTGGATTCTCGGAAGTGCACGTGTATGAAACAGATTTTTAAGTCACAACACAGAGTTTGTATAATTACTCGTAAGTCGCACAATAACAGGATACCGCAAATAATAGGCTGCTAACGTAACAATGAATATACTCGCGATTTTGCTTTCGTCTGACAAGACAATTTCCGAAAGCCAGGCATTTCTGAGTCAAATGATAAAGTATGTCTCTGAACGTGTCGAATAAATTTCGCGCGAAGAAAGGCATACGTACGACTGATGGCGTTAATTAGAATTGTAAGATAGTATTGCTTGACTGCAATAAATATCTCAGGCCGCATTTTTAACGAATGCAATGGCAATTTCCATTTCGCGTTGTACTTCTCTTGTATGTAACCTCGCTAAGTGTTATCATTTATTTTTCCGGTCTCAATTCTTGAGATTGTTACGTATTGTATTGCCGTTATATTCCACGTGATTATCTTGAGAAGGTGATGGATGAAAATAGAAAACGCTTGATTAAATTAATTAATCTCTCCTCATTTTGATTCAATGATGTGCATAGAAGAAAGAAAAGAATTGTTAATTTCCATCGTTGATTTATAGTGATTAGATAAATACCTATGGTTTTTTTATGAAGATATAAATTCAAGGACACAATTTGTAGAGAATATGTACTTTTCAGTCATCTTATTCATGCCATTTTACTTTCGACGGAAGAAAGAACATAGCCTGTAGTCCATTTTTTAGCAATTCGACTTATCGTAGGTGTAAACTTAAGAATCGTAATGCGATAACATGTGTGAATCATCATCTTTACAAGAGATCAACAGTATTTAATAGCATTCGATCTCTTTCGCTGAAGATCCCGTCATCTCGCGCGGAAAGAACTCCACGACGCAGTTTATTGATTCAGGTTTCGACGGGTTTTCACAGAAAACATCAGCCAGTAGTATATCTATGAAATTTATTTATAATATCATAGATCATAAATCATTTGGAACAGTAAATCATCTGGGAATCATTAAGATGATGCACTGATCGAGATCGTTTCATCCATCTGTTTTAAGTCATAATATTTGATGTTTTTCTCATTAAAAATACATAAAATAATGATTCAGTGGAAAAAATAATTTTATTTAAAGAAATTATTTACACACAGGGAATACATATACAGGTTGTTCCGAAATTCGCGAATCAAGATATCACAGCAAGAAAGTTTTTAAAAGATTAAAAAATGTTATACTTATATATGTTTTTATTTCCAGTAGTAGTTTTTGAAATATAAGAGTTTAAATAATCAATTACAGATGTTTAGACCGCTGTGTGTCTATGAATCGCGTGTGTGGTAGTATTAGTAAGCATGCCCTTCAGCATTTAAATATACTCCGTCATTAGCTATATTTAAATCTATTATTTATTATTTCACAAATTATTACTTAAAAATTTACGAGTAACATTTTTTTTTTGCAAACTTTCTTATTGTAGTACTTTGATTTGAAAATTTCGTAACATCTTATATATATTCCGTCATAAATAGTTACTTCTGTTTCCCATTGCTGAAAAAGATAGACCGACGAATTTAATATTTATTAATAATATTATTTATAATATTATAATATTTATAATATTATAATTTAATACCTATCATATAACTTAATTTCATTTTCTCGTTAGACATAATTCAATTTCAAATATATGATTATTTATTGATTACCGGATATACAAGAGGAATATTTTCGGTATTATATTGTGTATACAAATCTATTCTATCGATTTTGCAAATGTTGTTTTATTAAAAAATACACTTTAACAAGTTTGCAAGAATTTTCTTTATCTTTCTGTATCTTTGTTTCTTCTGATGTCACAATTCAAGCTACAGTGAGTAGGCAGGAACCTTAAATTTGAGTTTTAGCCTGTCACAGTCTTTCTTAATTTAAAAAGTAAAAGAAAGCCATTGTGGCCATTTTATTTCAAAGACAAGATCAAGTAGGATGTTCTGTAACCAAGAATATGTCTTATTTGCAAGGAGTACATCTGGGTCTTTCGTTTGTTACGAGGTGTTAAATAGATCAGATCGACCGTGCTAAGTGTAACTAGGCTACCGCAGATGTCCTGACCCTGACTGTCGCGGCAAACGAACACGTCGTCTTCACGGCGCAGAGTAGGCGACCGCATCCTGGACGGTTGCCATCGAGAGATCTAAATAGAACTACCTACCGCACTCCTACGGCGGCGGGACGACCACTTTGCTGCCGTTTTATAGATTCCGTTTCGTCGACTATTTGCACGAAAAGTGTGAATGTCTTAACCGATGGATGAATAACTCTCCTAAAATCGTATCGCGCATGTAACGTGGGCGCGTTAGCTCCAGAATGTCTACACTGTTGAACATTTGAACTATTTCTTCTGATACATTAAAGTGGAACGCTGTATGTCTGTCAAATGTTCTCTTTAGAACTTTTAGAATGAATCTCACTCTAAAGAGTGAAATCTTACTCTTAAAGATAGAAAATTGAATCACTCTTTTTTAAGATTGACTCAATTTTCACTCTTTAGAATGAGATTTTACTCCAAAGAATTTATAATAAATTGTGTTACGTTATATACGAAATTATTAAGCTGAAATAATAACTGACACAGCATGAGATATTTTTCCTATATATGCGAGGCATTCTACGTCAAACTGGGCACCTTTGAAACATCGTCATTTTTTTTTAAATTTGCTGACATATGCTACAAATAAAAATATGAGACTTCCACATGATATACCGTCACGCAACAGAACTTTTTAATTATACAGTCCATTTGAGTTCTATTTTAAAATTTTCAGGGTTACTTTATAATTGAAGGGGGAATGGTGATATTTTTATAAAATTTTTTAATTGGTGAGTTGATGACGAAAAGTGTTAATAAAAATTATAAACAAATGAAAAATTATTTATTTATATGAAAATGATAAATTAAAAATAATCCATCCGTAGAACAATTTAAGATCTTTAAAATCGGATTCTTGCATTTTTTTTTTGTACGACTAATATGGTTTCGATAATAGAATAATTTAAATGTTCGCATAAGCGACGTTTTTTATGAATTTTTGCAACTTACAAGCGTGAATAATTTCACAAAAAAATCGTAAATTTTTTTCGCGAAACACGTCTCATATTTTTATCTATAGAATATGATCAAAGCAAATTTAAAAAGAAAATAAAAATAACGACTTTTCCAAGGTGTCCGGTTTGATGTGGAATGCTTCAATAGTTATTCTAATATTATAATAATCTAAAAAATTATGAAATAAAATTGAAGAAGTATCAGTCGAACTTTTCTCGCCTTTATTATATTTGTACGCTATTCCAACTTTTTCAATATAATTTAATTTTTTTATTCATAATTTCATCAATTTTTCAAACGTATTTAATATATTGATACGAAATATCGATCAAATAAAAAATATCTTCTCAGAAAAAAATATCTTAGGAATTCTGAGAATTGACAAGATTCATTATGCATAATATTTCTAGCTCTTTTATAATACTGAAATGTCCACTAACTCGGCAAAATAAAATTATCTTGAAAATGATCGTTGGAACAGTCAA